ACAGACCACCTGAATGCCACAAAATAGAAATCCAGAGACAAATAACAGAGATGTTAGACAAAGAAATAATTGAGAATTCAGACTCCCCTTACAACGCACCTGTATGGGTAGTCCCTAAAAAATTAGATGCCTGAGGAAAACAGAAGTGGAGAATAGTCATTGATTTTAGAAAACTAAACGAAATTACAGATCAAGGCGCTTACCTACTCACTTCCCCATGTTGACGACATATTTACTCACTTAGGAAATGCAAAATTTTTCAGTGCTCTGGATCTCTCTTCAGGTTTCCATCAAATCCCCATGAACCCCAAACATAAAAAAAAATTGCATTTAGCACACCAGACGGACATTTGCATTACAGACATTTCCATTACCGACACATGCCATTTGGACTGAGGAGAACGCACTGGCAACCTTTCAACGTATGATAGACAATGCATTAAAAGGATTAATAAAGAAATACTGTTTCGTATATTTGAACGATATTATATTTGGAAGTACGATTGAAGAGCACGACAGAAACCTAGCGATAATATTCCATAGACTGAAGAAAGTAGGACTAAAAATCCAGCCAGACAAATGCGAATTTTTAAAACCAGAATTAGAATACTTAGGACACATGGTAACAAAAGACGGAATCAAGCCTAACCCAAAGAAAATCGAAGCAATAAAAAATTTTCCAATACCAACCACAGTGACAAAGATCAAATCTTTCCTTGGACTCGTGGGATACCATAGAAAATTCATTAGAAACTTTGCAAAGATAGCCAAATCATTGACCCACCTAACCTAAAGAGAAACCCATTCTTTTGGAAGGAAGAACAACAAAAAGCATTTGATGAACTCCGAAATCTACTCTGCGAGCAGCCCATTTTACAATGTACAGACTTTAACAAAACATTCGTGTTAACGATGCTAGCAACGAAGGACTAGGAGCCGTATTATCACAAGAGGGACACACCCATGCAATTTTATATCCAGAACTTTAAACTCGGCAGAAAGAAATTATACCACAACAGAAAAAGAACTGTTAGCAATTGTCTGGGTCGTCAAACGTTTGAGACTATCTACTGGGAAAACGATTCATAATCCGAATGGATCATCGAGCATTAAAATGGCTACATAACGTCAAGGATCCTTCATCCAGACTGATGAGATGGAGATTACTGTCTAGATGAATACGATTACGAAATTGAATATAAAAAAGAAAAGGACAATGTAGTAGCTGACACATTCTATCACGAATATTCCCAGCAAGAATGATCAAAGACGAACCAGTAAAATTAAACATAAGAATTCTAGACCCACAAGTATGTCAAGAAATGGAAGAACTATTACCAGAAGAGTTAGGAACCCCTTCAATATTAACAAATCAAGATAACGAAGACGAACTCGATGAACAATATATTGATGGAAGACATCACCAACTCCATCAGTACCTATAAAACTAGAAGGAAACAAACCTTATTGGACGCAACTGTCCCATGAAATAATGGGAAATTGTGACGAAAAACAATGGCTAATCAAATTACATTCTATCGTGGCATTACAGAATGAATAACGAAATATAAAATTTGGGAACAAAGACATCAAAGGATTAGAACTAATAAATATTCAGCTAATGCTAAGATTCCTCATGAAAGATTTTAAAGGAAAGATGCTGAAATTTTCTACGAAACCTATAAAGGAACTGACTCGAGAAGAAATAATGCAAATACTAAAAGAAAATCACGATTTTCATCAACACCCAGGGGGAACAAGACAATTGAAGCAATTAAAACAAAATATTATTGAAAGAATATGGAGAAGGATATAGTAAATTATATAAAGAGCTGCAAAACTTGTCAACTACAAGAACTCACCTGTATTAGACTACGAGAAGAAGCAATCATCACAGACACTCCAGAGGATCCAAACGACAAAAAGTAAGCTTAGACATCATTGGGCCACTGATAAAAACTAAATTAGGAAACCAATTCATACTCTCCATACAAGACTATCTCCTTAAATACCTAATGCTAATTCCATTACCAAATCAACGAACCTCTTCAATAATAAATGCATTGTTAGATCACTGTATTTATATCTTTTCCTCGCCAAAACATATGCTAACTGATCAAGGACAGAATTTCATATGCAAAGTAGTAGGAGAATTCGAAACATTATTCAAAATAAAATATAAAGACTACCAGCTTTCAACCTCAATCGAACGGTAGTTTAGAAAGAATCCATGCCACCATTAAAGATATGATCAGGACTAATGTCAGTTAAAATCACAACGATTAGGATGAATATTTAAAATACGTCAGTTTAGCTTACAATACGTCTATTCATACGGACACGGGCTATTCATCGTTCGAACTAAGTGTTGGTAGACAAGCCAACTTGCCTTCTGCAAACACAACATCTAGCCTCTCAAAGAATTTCCACAATTGTGGAAAAAACGTCACTTAGAATATTTACAAAATGCAAAACAAATAACGGAGAAAAATAAAGAAAAATATAAAATTACCCAAGATAACAAAATCGAACTTAAAAATATCTACAAAAATGAGACTTAGTATTACTTCATGATGAAAGCAAAATTAATAAATTAGACCAGCAATGGTTAGGATCTTATGAGATCTACGAAGCTAACACCCCAAATTATATTATATTTATATACGACAAGTTAGTAACGGTACATGGAAATCGAATAAAACATTATTCCAGGTCTACCTGGCAAAGAGTAAGGGCAAGGACATCATTATACGAGAACTCGATAGCAATCAAATTGTAACCGGAACCCTAAGCACAGCATTTATTTATAATACTGAAACAAGAATCACGTTAATATTCAACACCAAAGAATTAACTGAAACTATGGAACAGGTATATCTAATTAGCTCAAGCCTAAACGAATACTGCAAACGAAATAAAATAGACTGCAAAACCACTGACAACTCTAACAACGAAGACTAAACAAACTTCAAATATTGCTCCATGCATGAAGCAAAAGAGGATTAATTAAGTATATCTAAATCATTCTTTGGAACATTAGATGAGACCGATTAGGATTTAATAATCAAAAATTTAGACAAAATATACGATAGACAAAAGGCATTTACATAAATAATACAAAATTAAACAGCCTTAAACAGAAGCTTTATTCACGACGAAACATCACAACATATTATCCACAGATTAAATCAATGAGACATTAGAACAGAACAAATAAAAATTAAGAGCATTTACTAGAAGTCCTACTAACCATAGAAGCAGTATTATCCGATTTAACAAATAGAGTAAACGATTTCTATTTTGTGTTAACCTTAGGAAAGAAAGGAATAATCGACACGGTATTTATACCTATCGATGCTTTCATACACACATTTAAATCTCTGACAAAATTTCATGATCAACTTCTTGAACCCGTTGTTACGAATTTCCAATCATTAACCGTTTGAGTGCCACGGGTCATTATTGTTTCCCAATCGATATTTGCCAAGCGGCGCGATAGCGCTTGTCATATTCCGTGTCCAAAAACGCCGAGCGGCGCGATAGCGCTTCTCATATTCCGCGTTCACCAACCGAGCGCGTTGATTGTCAGCTTCGCAGCTCAGAGCGCTGGCACTTTTGGACACAAAATAGAAGAAGCGCGATCGCGCCGCTTGGCACTCAAACGGTTAATAGATATCAGCTCCTTAGTAATCGCAACTAAAGGAAACACTTTAATATACCAAATTATAACCCCTATTATTAGAAAAAGAACCATGGAATATTGGAAGAAGATATGCCATACCAAAGAAAACCGGGAAAATATTCATGGCATTCATCCTGGATCATGAATACGCCCTCCTGCAACCACATCATACATCAAAATAGATCAAACATACATACAGACTTATTGTAGAGACACTAGCATAGGACAAATATGTAAAAACACACAACTAATTAATCACGGAAAAGAAAAACTCATATGCAATCCTGAATGTAACATCGTGGTCTTTAAAATCGACTTAATCACCTTCATACCTATGAAAGGAATGAATGAATTTATAATAATTCCAAAACAAGCGATCACACTTAACGCACTTTGTACTACACACGAAAATACAGGTAACAAAACCAGCTATACTGTCTACAAAGAAACCATGCACAATTTCTTACGAAAATAATGTAATGAAAATTGGAGGAACAATGAATAATGCTACAATTTCAGTAGAAAATTTCTCAATACCATACGACTTAAACACATTAAACTGAGAATTATTATCAAACAAAGTACCTGCAATTCCGAAAGTTACTCCAAATTTCAATAATTTTAAATACAGCCTAGATCAACTAGATAAGCAAATCAATAGACTACAAACAGAACATAGACTCACTACACTTAGTAATGTAACTTGATGAATATTAATATATTTAGGCTGGGTTGCTCTAGCTTTAGTCACATTATACACTATACATAAAACTGGAATCCTTAATTATTGCAAACCGAAAAACCTCTGTATCAAAATTTGTTGTAACGACAGTCGCGTAACATATGTACCACCGCAAGAAACTAACATTATCACCCAACTACAAGCAACACCTATACTCTGAAGACCTAAAGTCACCTTTCAGGAAATAGAAGACTCGGATGAAAAATCCACCATAGTTAAAATACGACCAGAAATTATACGCTTCACAGGAGTGAAGAAGAATCTCAGAAGGGGGGCGTGATACCAGCGATAACACCCATTATCAAGGATAACGAAGTACTCCAAACAGACAAAAAGATAATCCTACAATGAATCACCACATCTACAAAATTATAAATACCCGTTCAAAACACGAATAAAGTTAGTCGTAAACCTGAAGTTAGACCTATTGTGTGTCTATAATTTTACCATACCTCACTTATAATGAGACGTTTATGTTTGACTAAGCATTGCATCTAATCAGCCGGATTAATTCTTGTCATACATGTACGTCTTCGTTTGAAGTTTAGGATTCACATAGTGAGATTAGTTACTATCTTCGTTCTTCTATTTTATTTTCTTATTGTCACAATAATCCCCGTGATAAAAGTGAAACATTCAGTATCTCCTAAAACGTTTCGTGAAGTAATACTATCACAAACTAATGTTTTAATGACTGCAATCGACGAAAGAAATATTCAAGAACAATAATGCACGGTATCGGTTATTAGTTCGTAACATTGCAATTGTAGGTTATGTTTGCAACACTGCCGTAATATTTACGAATGGACCACAACACAAGTTTAAGAAATTGAGAGAATTGTACCGAGATCAGGATATTTAGGTACCAACATTTGTAATATACGCGTGGAACGAAGTGATGTTACATAATGCAAATCGTATAACAATACATGTGCGAAATAAAGCGGTGTGAGTGCGAATCGTATAACACATGAGCATAATCACATACCATCGACTGTAGATTCTAGATTTCGATTGTCCATTGGGATATTTGATCAACCTTGCTCGGAATAGGCACGTTTTTAATAGTTTTCCCAATTTTTCTTCGATTTTGACAGTTCAATTGCGAAATAGACTCACAAAAGTGCAAGAGTTTGTCAGAACGTGCAGCATCCTTACATTTTATCGCTAATATATTCTAAATTTCGCTTGTTGATTGGAATATTTCGATTCACTAGCATAGAATAGGTTCTGCTCTAATCAGTGAGCTAATTTTTTCTCCATTTTCACCATTCAATTGCGAAATATAGTGGCGGAAATGTAATCCCTTGTTGGAACGTAGTGCGTTGTTGACTTTATCGCTTACATTTTTGAAATTTTACCATGCGATTATAAAAGTTCATAAATTAATCACAAAAATTGAGTAATTTGATCATTCTTCTCCGCGCGACCAGAAATATGCGGAGGAAATGAGAAAAAGATTGCAAAATGGCGCGACAAGCATTGCTGTGTCCATAAAAGTGTGCCTGCATCACACGTAAGAATGTAAGTATTTGTATTAACATAACCTTCAGTTGTAAATATATAATATAAGATATAAGCCACCATTTCTCCATCTTTCATTAGTGATAGCAGAGCTTGGTTGTAAAAAGACAATATTCTGTTGAAATAAAGAGACACGTGCAGCAGGGGAAAAATATTGTACCTGCAGAATATCACACGAAAGAATGTAAGTATTTGTATTAACATAACCTTCAGTTGTAAATACATAGTGTAAGATATAAGCCATTATTTTCCCACCTTTCATTAGTGATAGCGCAGTCAGGTTGTGAAAAGAGAATATTTTGTTGCAATAAACAGACAAGTGTAGTAGGGGAAAAATATTGGACCTGCAGAATATCACACGAAAGAATGTAAGTATTTGTATTAACATAACCATCAGTTGTAAATACATAGTGTACGATATAGCCCATTATTTTTCCACCTTTCTTTAGTGATAGCGCAGTCAGGTTGTGAAAAGAGAATATTTTGTTGCAATAAACAGACACGTGTAGTAGGGGAAAAATATTGGACCTGCAGAATATCACACGAAAGAATGTAAGTATTTGTATTAACATAACCTTTAGTTGTAAATATATAGTGTAAGATATAGGCCATTATTTCTCCATCTTCCATTAGTGATAGCAGAACTTGGTTGTAAAAAGACAATATTATGTTGTAATAAACAGACACGTGTAGGAGGAGAAAAATATTGGACTTGTAGACCATCACACGAAAGAATGTAAGTATTTGTATTAACATAACCTTCGGTTGTAAATACATAGTGTACGATATAAGCGATTATTTTTCCACCTTTCATTAGTAATAGCGGAGCAAGGTTGTGAAAAGACAATATTCTGTTTTAATTAACAGACACGTGCAGTAGGGGAAATATATTGGACTTGTAGAATATCTCACGAATGAATGTAAGTATTTGTATTAACATAACCTTCAGTTGTAAATACATAGAATGTACGATATAGGCCATTATTTCTCCATCCTTCATCAGTGATAGCAGAGCTTGGTTGTGAAAAGACAATATTCTGTTGTAATAAACAGACACGTGCAGTAGGGGAAATATATTGGACTTGTAGAATATCTCACGAATGAATGTAAGTATTTGTATTAACATAACCTTCAGTTGTAAATACATAGAATGTACGATATAGGCCATTATTTCTCCATCCTTCATCAGTGATAGCAGAGCTTGGTTGTGAAAAGACAATATTCTGTTGTAATAAACAGACACGTGCAGTAGGGGAAATATATTGGACTTGTAGAATATCTCACGAATGAATGTAAGTATTTGTATTAACATAACCTTCAGTTGTAAATACATAGAATGTACGATATAGGCCATTATTTCTCCATCCTTCATCAGTGATAGCAGAGCTTGGTTGTGAAAAGACAATATTCTGTTGTAATAAACAGACACGTGCAGTAGGGGAAATATATTGGACTTGTAGAATATCTCACGAATGAATGTAAGTATTTGTATTAACATAACCATCAGTTGTAAATACATAGAATGTACGATATAGGCCATTATTTCTCCATCCTTCATCAGTGATAGCAGAGCTTGGTTGTGAAAAGACAATATTCTGTTGTAATAAACAGACACGAGCAGGAGGGGAAAAATATTGGACTTGTAGAATATCTCACGAAAGAATGTAAGTATTTGTATTAACATAACCTTCAGTTGCAAATACATAGTGTACGATATAAGCCATTATTTCTCCATTTATCATTAGTGATAGCAGAGCTTGGTTGTAAAAAGACAATATTCTGTTGTAATAAACAGACACGTGTAGAAGGAGAAAAATATTGGACATATAAAATATCACACAAAAGAATGTAAGTCTTTGTATTAACATAACCTTCAGATGTAAATACATCGTGTACGATATAAGCCATTATTTCTCCATCTTCCATTAGTAATAGCAGAGCTTGGTTGTGAAAATACAATATTCTGTTGTAATAAACAGACGCGGGCAGTAGGAGAAAAATATTGGACTCGTAGAATATCACTGGCGTAAAATTAGTACATGCCAAGAATTATTTTTTTGGCCAGAGAACCTAGAAGCAATAATACAAATACGTAACGTATGATATGTCCATTGGATTCTAGGGCGATTAGCCATATGACACGAGTGACAAAAATATTCAGTGGTAAAATAAAGACTGAGAAAGGAAGACGGGTTTGACAGGGAAGAAAGAAATAATGTTCCTCTAGGTGATGTTCTCTTATAACAACAAGATATAGAGAATACAGTGAGATTCAAAGGCATGTTGTGTCCCTGATCTGAATAAATATTGATATCAGTGGACAAAGTCGATGACCACGACTATTGTAGAATCAGGAAACATACGATGCAGCACACGGATTGACAATGAAAGATGTGTGGCATCGATGACTGAGTCATGCAAATATTAGGATCATTGAAGATATAGAGTACGACTAATTGGTAATAGTTATGAAAGGTAAAGTTGAATATAGAGTATAAATGTTGCATTAAGGCAAAAACCTATAGAAATATGAATAGAAACTTGGAAACTATAAAAGTAGCAAGAATAATGGGGCTGACACATGGACTTGATTGGGCCAATAAACCCAATGTCCAAATGGAGGTAAAAGGTACGTTTCAACTGCTGCTGACGATTGGAGAGTGAAGGAAATCAATTTGTCAAGAAGTTGAAAATACGTGCCAAGAATTATTTTTTTGGCCAGAGAACCTAGAAGCAATAATACAAATACGTAACGTATGATATGTCCATTGGATTCTAGGGCGATTAGCCATATGACACGAGTGACAAAAATATTCAGTGGTAAAATAAAGACTGAGAAAGGAAGACGGGTTTGACAGAGAACAAAGGAATATTATTCCTCTAGGTGATGTTCTCTTATAACAACAAGATATAGAGAATACAGTGATATTCAAAGGCATGTTGTGTCCCTGATCTGAATAAATATTGATGTGAGTCGACAAAGTCGATGTCCACAACTAATATGTTAGGCTTCAGAAAGATGAAGCTGAAGTATATAAAGGAAATGGAGAAGTTTTATTAGAAGCAGTGAGAAGAGGAAATGCATATTATGTGGAATCAGGAAATATATACGATGCAGCACACGAATTAATGAAGAAAAATGTGTGGCATCGATTACTGAGACATGCAAATATCAGGATCATTGAAGAGATGCAGAACGAATAACGGGTAATAGTTATGAAAGGTAAAGATAAATTGAATATAGAGTGTAAATGTTGCATTAAGGCAAAAACCTATAGAAATATGAATAGAAACTTGGAAACTATAAAAGTAGCAAGAATAATGGAGCTGGCACATGGACTTGATTGGACCAATAAAACCAATGTCCAAATGGAGGTAAAAGGTACGTTTCAAATGCTGCTGACGATTGGAAAGTGAAGGAAATCAATGTGTCAACAAGTTGAAAAGTAATACATGCCAAGAATTACTTTTATGGCCAGAAAAGATTGAAACAGTAATACAAATACGTAACGTATGATATGTCTATTGGATTCTAGGTCGATTAGCCATATGACACGAGTGACAAAAATATTCAGTGGCAAAATAAAGACTGAGAAAGGAAAACGGGTTTCACAGAGAATAAAGGAATACTATTCCTCTAGGTGATGTTCTCTTATAACAACAAGATATAGAGAATACAGTGAGATTCAAAGGCATGTTGTGTCCCTGATCTGAATAAATATTGATATCAGTGGACAAAGTCGATGACCACGACTATTGTAGAATCAGGAAACATATACGACGATGCAGCACACGAGTCAATAACGAAAGACGTGTAGCATCGATAAAATGGAGAAGATTCACTGAAAGCAGTGTGAAGAGGAAATGCATATTATGTGGAAACAGGAAAGATATACGATGCAGCACACGAATTAATGAAGAAAGATGTGTGGCACCTATGACTGAGACATGCAAATATCAGGATCATTGAAGAGATGCAGAACGAATAATTGGTAATAGTTATGAAAAGTAAAGATAAATTGAATATAGAGTGTAAATGTTGCATTAAGGCAAAAACCTATAGAAATATCAATAGAAACTTGGAAACTATAAAAGTAGCAAGAATAATGGGGCTGACACATGGATTTGATTGGGCCAATAAAGCCAATGTCCAAATGGAGCTAAAAGCTACGTTTCAAGTGCTGCTGACCATTTGAGAGTGAAGGAAATCAATGTGTCAACAAGCTGAAAAGTAATACATGCCAAAAATTATTTTTTTGGCCAGGAAAGATTGAAACAGTAAAACATATATGTAACGTATGATATGTCTATTGGATTCTAGGTCGATTAGCCATATGACACGCGTGACAAAAATATTCAGCTGTAGAATAAAGACTGAGAAAGGAAAACGGGTTTGACAGAGAACAAAGGAATATCATTCCTCTAGGTGGTGTTCTCTCATAACAACAAGATATAGAGAATACAGTGAGCTTCAAGGCATGTTGTGTCCCTGATCTGAATAAATGTTGATATCATTGGACAAAGTAGATGACCACAACTAATAAGTTTAGCTTCAGAAAGATAAAGCTGAAGTATATAAAGAAAATGAAAAAGTTTTATTAGAAGCAGTGAGAAGAGGAAATGCATATTATGTGGAATCAGGAAACATATATGATGCAGCACACGAATTAATGAAGGAAGATGTGTGGCATCGATGACTGAGACATGCAAATATCAGGATCATTGAAGAGATGCAGAACGAATAATTGGTAATAGTTATGAAAGGTAAAGATAAATTGAATATAGAGTGTAAATGTTGCATTAAGGCAAAAACCTATAGAAATATGAATAGAAACTTGGAAACTATAAAAGTAGGAAAAATAATGGGACTGGCACGTGGACTTGATTGGACCAATAAAGCCAATGTCCAAATGGACGTAAAAGGTACGTTTCAACTGCTGCTGACGATTCGAGAGTGAGGGAAATCAATGTGTCAACAAGTTGAAAAGTAATACATGCCAAGAATTATTTTTTTGGCCAGAAAAGATTGAAGTAGTAATATAAATACGTAACGTATGATATGTCTATTGGATTCTAGGTCGATTAACCATATGACGCGAGTGACAAAAATATTCAGTGGTAAAATAAAGACTGAGAAAGAAAGACGGGTTTGACAGAGAACAAAGGAATATTATTCCTCTAGGTGATGTTCTCTTATAACAACAAGATATAGAGAATACAGTGAGATTCAAAGGCATGTTGTGTCCCTGATCTGAATAAATATTAATATCACTGGACAAAGTCGATGACCATAACTATTGTAGAATCAGGAAACATACGATGCAGCACACGAATTAATCAACGAAGATGTGTGGCATCGATGACTGAGACATGCAAATATCAGGATCATTGAAGAGATGCAGAACGAATAATTGGTAATAGTTATGAAAGGTAAAGATAAATTGAATATAGAGTGTAAATGTTGCATTAAGGCAAAAACCTATAGAAATATGAATAGAAACTTTGAAACTATAAGAGTAGCAAGAATAATGGGGCTGGCACGTGGACTTGATTGGACCAATAAAGCCAATGTCCAAATGGAGGTAAAAGGTACGTTTCAACTGCTGCTGACGATTGGAGAGTGAAGGAAATCAATTTGTCAAGAAGTTGAAAATACATGCCAAGAATTATTTTTTTGGCCCGAAAAGATTGAAGTAGTAATATAAATACGTAACGTATGATATGTCTATTGGATTCTAGGTCGATTAACCGTATGACGCGAGTGACAAAAATATTCAGTGGTAAAATAAAGACTGAGAAAGAAAGACGGGTTTGACAGAGAACAAAGAAATATTATTCCTCTAGGTGATGTTCTCTTATAACAACAAGATATAGAGAATACAGTGAGATTCAAAGGAATGTTGTGTCCCTGATCTGAATAAATATTGATATCAGTGGACAAAGTCGATGACCACGACTATTGTAGAATCAGGAAACATACGATGCAGCACACGGATCGACAATGAAAGATGTGTGGCATCGATGACTGAGTCATGCAAATATTAGGATCATTGAAGATATGGAGAACGAATAATTGGTAATAGTTATGAAAGGTAGAGATGAATATAGAGTATAAATGTTGCATTAAGGCAAAAATCTATAGAAATATCAATAGAAACTTGGAAACTATAAAAGTAGCAAGAATAATGGGGCTGACACATGGACTTGATTGGACCAATAAAGCCAATGTCCAAATGGAGGTAAAAGGCACGTTTCAAGTGCTGCTGACGATTCGAGAGTGAAGGAAATCAATGTGTCAACAATTTGAAAAGTAATACCTGCCAAGAATTATTTTTTTGGTCAGAAAAGATTGAAACAGTAATACATATACGTAACGTATGATATGTCTATTGGATTCTAGGTCGATTAGCCATATGACACGAGTGACAAAAATATTCAGTGGCAAAGTAAAGACCGGGCAAGAGAGACGCGTTTGACAGAGAACAAAGGAATACTATTCCTCTGTGTGATGTTCTCTTATAACAACAAGATATAGAGAATACAGTGAGATTCAAGGCATGTTGTGACCCTGATCTGAATAAATGTTGATATCATTGGACAAAGTAGATGACCACAACTAATATGTTTAGCTTCAGAAAGATAAAGCTGAAGTATATAAAGAAAATGAAAAAGTTTTATTAGAAGCAGTGAGAAGAGGAAATGCATATTATGTGGAATCAGGAAACATATACGATGCAGCACACGAATTAATGAAAAAAGATGTGTGGCATCAATGACATGGAGAACTTCCACTGAAAGCAATGAGAAGAGGAAATGTATATTATGTAGAATCACGAAACATATACGACGCAGCACACGAATCAATGAAGAAAGATGTGTGGCATCGATGACTGAGACATGCAAATATCAGGATCATTGAAGAGATGGAGAACGCATAATTGGTAATAGTTATGAAAAGTAAAGATAAATTGTATATAGAGTGTAAATGTTGCATTAAGGCAAAAACCTATAGAAATATCAATAGAAACTTGGAAACTATAAAAGTAACAAGAATAATGGGACTGACACATGGACTTGATTGGGCCAATAAAGCCAATGTCCAAAAGGAAGTCAAAGGTACGTTTCAACTGCTGCTGATGATTCGAGAGTGAAGGAAATCAATTTGTCAAGAAGTTGAAAATACATGCCAAGAATTATTTTCTTGGCCAGAAAAGATAGAAGCAATAATACAAATATGTAACGTATGATATGTCTATTGCATTCTAGATCGATTAGCCATATGACATGAGTGACAAAAATATTCAGTGGTAGAATAAAGACTGAGAAAGGAAAACGGGTTTAACAGAGAAGAAAGGAATATTATTCCCCTAAGTGATGTTCTCTCATAACAACAAGATACAGAGAATACAGTGAGATTCAACGGCATGTTGTGTCCCTGATCTGAATAAAGGTTGATATCATTGGACAAAGTAAATGACCACAACTAATATGTTTAGCTTCAGAAAGATAAAGCTGAACTATATAAAGAAAATGAAGAAGTTTTATTGGAAGCAGTGAGAAGAGGAAATGCATATTATGTGGAATCAGGAAACATATATGATGCAGCACACGAATTAATGAAGAAAGATGTGTGGCATCGATGACTGAGACATGCAAATATCAGGATCATTGAAGAGATACAGAACGAATAATTGGTAATAGTTATGAAAGGTAAAGATAAATTGAATATAGAGTGTAAATGTTGCATTAAGGCAAAAACCTATAGAAATATCAATAGAAACTTGGAAACTATAAAAGTAGCAAGAATAATAGGGCTGACACATGGACTTGATTGGGCCAATAAAGCCAATGTCCAAATGGAGGTAAAAGGTACGTTTCAAGTGCTGCTGACCATTCGAGAGTGAAGGAAATCAATGTGTCAACAAGCTGAAAAGTAATACATGCCAAGAATTATTTTTTTGGCCAGGAAGGATTGAAACAGTAAAACATATACGCAACGTATGATATGTCTATTGGATTCTAGATCGATTAGCCATATGACGCGAGTGACAAAAATATTCAGTGGCAAAATAAAGACTGAGAAAGGAAAACGGGTTTGACAGAGAACAAAGGAATATTATTCATCTAGGTGATGTTCTCTCATAACAACAAGATATAGAGAATACAGTGAGATTGAAAGGCATGTTGTGTCCCTGATCTGAATAAATGTTGGTATCATTGG